GCTTTTCTCCATATGCCTTTCTTTTTTTTTCATAAAAAAGACCACGCACTTCCATTTAATTAAAAGTATCTACGTAGGAGCRAGATTAATTAATTCTCCTTCTACCCAAGAGCCCTCTCATTGTGTTCWCTTAAATGAGGTTTTAAAATGTTGTCTCTGTGCCGTATCTGGGCCAGTTGTCTCCAGACAACACTTGCAATGTTCTTGCAGCTCGTGCTCTACCACCCTGTGAAATATTCACTGCTTTTCAACCAGGCGGGGTCAACAGCTGGAAAACACTTCTGTAGCCCAATAAGCCATTGCTGCTCCTTCCCCAGGCCTGCAGCAGCTCCTGGGTTTTGCTTTTCCTGCTCCATCCCACCCTGCCTGCYCTGGAGGAGCCTYTGTGGAAGGACACAGCTCCATCTGCTCCGTCCTCTGCACCCTGAGCAGCTCTGGAGGCTGCAGGGGGATCTTTAAGGCCGGTTTGGGATGCCCAGGCAGACTCAGCTCCTCCCGATTTATGTCTCTGCAGCAAATTCAGTAAATTCAGTGGATCGCCCTCACCTTTGGTGCTGTCTCCTCCCTGTAACTCTAATCTTTTATTCATCTCGGATCTGAACAAAGACTTTCTGGAGAGTAAAGTGACAATGAGAGTGGTGGCTGTGTCACCTTTTGGTCAGCCATGGGGACTGTGGTGCCACTGCAGCCTCCCATGTGTGCAGGACCCCAAAGCCGGGCTGGGGTGGCATTTGTGAGGGTTCAGAGCCCTGAATTCCAACCCAGGGACACCCAGGGATCCCCAGGGAGAGCCAGAGAGGAGCACAGAGCCTGAGCCAGGGCTGCCACCTGCCTGGGATGGAAATTTCCACCATCCCTCTGTGCACCCCTTTGCTCTCCAGCAGATTCCTCTGCTGCCATTAGCCTTCAGAGCTCTGATTTGTCGGCCTGTCATCTGGACAAATGTTGACAGGCAGAAACAAGCAGAGCTTTCTTTATYCCCCCTCCTCTCTTCTCTCTTTTTCCACCTTCTGCACTCTCCACTGCCAGTGAGAACATCAAGGGAAAAGGATGAACAACTGACCCATAAAATAAATACAGGGCTTACAGTTTCTGATAGAGATTAAATATTGTAGGAGTCATGACTAGATAAAAGCCAGTGGAAGGAAAAGCCTCAGACCTCAATAGAGCATTAAATAAAAAGAAAGCAGCACATACACACACACCCAGACACAAGGAGATGTGCTGCAAGATTTATGGGGAGTTTGATAACCTGAACTGGTTTTTCTCCAGGCAGATTCACCTCAGGAGAGCAGCTCAAACGTGGCCAAGAGGAGCTGAGGAGAGCAGTGGCTCTGCCTCACGCTGTCCATGGGCTGGAGTTTCTGTCCCCATTCAGGGATCCCCAGCTCGGGACAGTGCCCAGTTCATGTGCAGCAAACAGACTGGGAGTGTGGGATCCTGCTGGTGGTGATAAATGAGGGCAGCTCCGAGGGCTTTGATGGGCACGTTTGGCACAGTCTGGACTGAGGATCCAACAAAGGATCCCACAACCTCAGCAAACCCGGCTCCTGCTCCAGCGCTGCCTTTGCTCACTGAAAACTCTGCTAAACTCTCCATGACCCAGCTCCCATCCTGAACCTCGCCAGGTCCCTGCAGGTTTCATTCCCCTCCCTCAGCCTGTGGATTCAGGTTTGGTGCAGTTATAACCGTGGTGCACCATGGACGGGCACTGGGGGCTCTCCCCTTTTCCTCCCCAGGACCAGCAGAGCCCGAGAGCAGCCGAGCAATGGCACAAACACCGGGCACGGGGAGAGCTGGAGCCGCTCTCGGCAGCAAATTAGACATTTAAAAACCGAGGAGAGCGAGTGGCGAAGATTAAATGCGTTATAGATTTGCTGGAGGAGAGGCGAGTGAAGCAAAGGTGGATCATTGACACCCCTCAGGCAACTGGTGAAGATTTGTTTACGCACTGGTGTGTAATCAAGTAGGAATGAATGCCAGGCACGGGGCCTTAATTTTTCATTTGCAATCAAGGCCACGTACACACCTTTTCTTAGTCACAGAAAAACACTGCCACGCTGCTGTCCCTGCTCGGCTGCATTACCCGGAGAAGGGACAATTACCAGGATAATGGGGCTGATTGCAGACAGGAGCAGCGGGGAAGGGCTGTGGCTGTGGTGGGAAGGATCCAGCGGGTCCCACCACCCTGGAGGATGCTCTGGGCACCCTGTCCCCCTGGGTATGTGGGATAAACACCAATGCCCAGAGCACAGCATGGACAAAGGTGTGAGTGAGGAAGGACAATGAGCAAACTGTGCCCACTGTGGGCACCCCTGTCCTGGGCACGGACACAGGACCAGGACAAAACAGAACGATGACCACAGACATGGAAACAGGGCAGAGGAGCTGGGCAAGAGAAGGGAACAAAGCTACGGGGAAGAAAAGAACATGGAGAGTCACGGCTGAAGAACATGGAGAGTCACGGCTGAAGAACACGGAGAGTCACGGCTGAAGAACACGGAGAGTCACAGCTGAAGATTACCTTGTGCCCCTCATTGAGATTCCCGTGCAGGTCCTGGTTTGAGGAGCTGCTGCCAACCTGTCGCAGCTTCGGTGCTTGGAGCAGCGAGGTGCGGCCCCGAGGGAGGCTYAGAGCCGACAACAGAGAGAGAGGAGGGCGTCTGATCAAATATTCCCTTTGCTCCTGGCAGCCTTCACATCTCCGTGTGCTCGTTCCGTGCGTCCCGCTCCGAGTGTGCCCCGGGGCTGGGAGTGCCAGCACTGCTCACCCTGCTCAGCACAGCCAGGAGGGAACCCCAAAACCTGACAGAATGGGGCTGATGGGACATGCCAAGGGTTCCAGAGTCACGAGGGAACCCCAAAACCTGACAGAACGGGGCTGATGGGACATGCCAAGGGTTCCAGAGCCAGGAGGGAACCCCAAAACCTGACAGAATGGGGCTGCTGGGACATGCCAAGGGCTCCACAGCCAGGAGGGAACCCCAAAACCTGACAGGATCAGTGCTGCTCAGACAGAGTCCAAGGGTTTCACAGCCCAGGCTGACACTGCCCAAAGCACCCGCGCTGCTCGGGGGCTCTGCAGAAGGGATTCCCACTTTGGGCACTTTGCTGAGGAAGAGGAGGGGATCCTGTCACCCCAAAGGATGCTGAGAGCCTGAGCCTGAGGATTTGGCTCAGCACTGGTACTGCTGGGACACAGCCCTGGGGTGTCCCCTGTGTCCTGCCTGATCGATGCCACCCAGAGCAGGCGTTATCCCAGGCGGACAGCACCAGCCCCTGCCTGGAAAACGGGATTGCATCTCCAGAAAAGCCATTAGCCCCTGTCAGGAGCCCCTGATGAGAACGGAGTGCCCAGCACGGATCGATGCTGCCTCTCCCTGCTCCCTGTATTTCCATCACCCAGCCCAGGATCTGTGGTACCTGATCTGAGTTTAACTGTCATTTATTGCTAATTACTTTACGTGGCATAGGCAACTTCAGCCTGGCAGAAAAGGCTGTAATTAAAAAAGGCACACTCACATACCCACCYAAAATAATTCCTCCCTGTATTTGGTTAAAAAGGGAAGAAAATTAAGAACGATATTACTGACCTAATAAAATAATTTTGCAATTAGGACCAAATGACTTCCGCAACTTGTGAAAATGTGAAGTTCAGAGCAAAGATGAGATTCTTATTTGAAGTAATGATGATTTTCTTCATTTTCATCAAATCTGGCAGTGTSCTCAGCTCTGTGCAATTGAAAAGGCTCAGCAGCTGTGGGGTCACGTCTCAGGAATGCTTTTATGCAGTTAAACACTCAGAATGTGGGACTCACCAATTCTTATTGCTCAATTGCTACTCTTTCCAGTTTTCCCCATCCAAGTTTTTTTTATCTCAGTGTCTGAAAAGTTAATGCAAAGGGTTTCATCAGGTGACTGATCCTGCATGCTACAGGTACAGTTTCTTGTCACCTACTTACAATGCCTGGGTAGGGCCAGAAAAGCAAATGAGCAGAGTGTTTAGATCGAATGGAAAGAAAAGCACCACTAAATAACCTTAAAACCCTGAAAGATGTGGACCCCCGAGAGGATAAATTACAGACACCACAAACGTGAGACACAATTAGCCCTGGCCAGATGAGGAGAAAAGAACGGTGAGCCGACATTGGGGGCTGTGAGCTGCAAACCTCTTCTGCACTGGAATAATTGCAATAGCCATGGAAACCTGCTCGTTTCGGGTAAGAAAAGAGCGAGCTGCTTTTTTGGCTTTGGCCCATGGTTTTTTCCTCAGTGTCAGGGTTTTTTCAGAAATTTGTGACATAAGGAGATGAGCACCCAGTGCTCCAGAGCTGACACGGCCTCGGAGCAGCCACTGCCCCTCCACACTGCTCCGTGCAGGATTGTTCTCCTGTGATCTCCTCAAAAAGCAATTGTCTTTCTCCTCATCCTTTGTGCAAAGCATAAAAGATTAATGATTCTGATTCTAATTTCAGTGTGGCAGCTGCCTCACAGCCTGATTTGGGGGACGGATCCTCGCCAGCAGCACCGAGTTTGGGGTCTCGTGGTGAACACACATCGTGTGCCACAAAAGGGAAATGCCAAATGCATTAAGGGGAAATGCCAGGAAATCTGGCAGCACCAGGACTGAGACAAGAACGTGGTGAAGGAGGGCACATATTTCAACACTCCATGGGAGGATTTAAACATTTGTCTGTTAAAAACTCACACACTGACCTACCCCAGCTTGGGAAAGTGGGACTATCAGCAACAGATCAATTTTCCCCAAGGCATTTTCCTCAAAGAAAATGATTTAGCAATTATAAACAAGAAACTTATGCAATCTGCTCTATACTTTACACAGTTCCAGCACATCAGGTTTAACTCCTTTTGTCCCAGGCAGTGCTGGGTGTTACCTGCTTGGCCCCAGCTTCTCCTGCCCACGTCCCTGGTGAAACTCTGATGGAAGACCCTGTAACAGCCGGGATAAAGAGTGCAAAACAAGATCTAGTTTTGAAACATTAATTTTTTTTTATTAAGAAGACAGATATTTTATAGTACTTCTTTTCCTTTGTAAAAATGGGATACATGAACCAATACAAAATGTGAATGGGAACAGATGGATATGTATTTTCTTACACTGTAACATCTTCCATGGACACCTTAAAACAGAACTGGCCTAAGGGGAAAAAATAAAAAGGCCGGGTAAATAAAGAACAAGGTTGTTTATCATCAGTTCCGCGTCCTTCATTTGTGATCCTCCTTTAAACAAGGTTGTTCTTTCTTCACGCTTCAAAATCCTAATGATCTAAAGCTGTACAAAGTAATACTCAACAATACATTTCAACAGTGCACTGTATACTGAAGAAAAAATACATAAACCGATATACAACTAAAATTTATAATTTCCTGTTGTTTTTTTTTCTCCTGTTTTTACGTGGGTTTTTTTTTTTTTATTTTTCCAATGCGTGGGGCCGAAATTTTGCAATCTACCTGAGACGGAAAACACCAATCAAACACATGAACCTGAGACATGTCAACATTGTAAGTCAAAGTTACATCGGTAACACTGCACTACGGTACACTTCCAAACAAAGATGGGCTGCCCAGGGCCAGGATGCCCGTCCCGTGCCACGGAGCTGCTTCTCACYGCGATGGGTTTGGCAATGGTGCTCGGGGCTCACCACAGAGCTGTGCTCGACAAAACCTGCTCGGAATAAAGGGTGTTCTGCTCGCCAAGAGGGGAAAGACGGATTACTGCCGGGGATGGGCTCGCTTGCTGAGCCAGGCCACCCCATTCCCAAAGGAATCCCACATTGTAATGGTTCTGCCAAAAACAATTAAAAAACAAACGCACGAAAATGCCCCCCCCCCGAAACCCCTAAAAAATCCCCAAACCTGACACTAAGATTAATGCTTCCCTTAAATAAATCAGATACATTTGCCACGTAAACACAATAAAAAAATTATCACTCRAAATCCATGATTACTCACCAAAAAAAAGTCAGCATATATAACTTTATACCGTCTTCCCGCTGTGGTTTGCTACCTGTCGCTTACGATTCCGATTGAGCCAGASTCTCGGGTGCACCTATGGCTTTAGTGGTCATTAGCACGCTCGTTTCAACACCAATTCCCATGTTTYACTCAGCAGGTAGAAAAAAAAAGGCAGTTTTGTTCATCCAGCCGCTCTCCAGGTCTGGGCTGAGGTGTCAGAGGGGCTTTGGCTRCTGTGAGCAGAGAGGATGAGGAGGAGCCCCCGCGCCAGGAGGGCTCTGGCTCTGCACGGACCCTGCTCCTGCTCCTCCTGCTCCTCCTCTGCCGAGCTCCGGCCCCTTTCCCAACCGCCACCATCGAAAGCACCTGAAACAGCCCAAAAAGGGGGCTCAGGGGTGTCATCTGAGCCCCTGCGGCAACGGGGGAACAGGACATGGGCACACTGAACTGCAAACTACGCATCTAAAATGTGCTGGTTCTCCTCCGATGAGCTCGAGTTCTGAACGGAAACCGGTGAAGAGAAAAAAGGGGAAACACCTTCAGAGAAACGCACCTACTTCACAGGGTCCCAGCTGGCAACTCCAGAAACAGGAAAGGGGAAACGAAGAGCCACAGAAACCCGAAGGGAACTAACGCACAGAAGCCCCTCTTCTTCCCAGCCTCCCCCCGACCCGAACGAACAGAAATTAAACAAGGCACAGAATCTTCTGCAAATGACTTCACTAAACTAAATCCAAGCTGGACTTGGCCAAAAAAAGAAAACCCAAACGAACTGAGGTGTCGAACAGCAGAGTGTACTTTACGAAGAATATTTTTACACAGCTAATCCCGGACCTTCCCGGCCTCACCGCTCTCCACCCATTTGCTTTTTTTCCTTAAAAAAAAAAGACACAAGCTGGTTGCAACTTCCAAGATCACTGTCTCTGTAGCGTTTAAATAGGGCCAGTAGTAACCGTCCACGGTTGGACACCTCATGGGAACCAAGGCTGCTCTAGATGAAGTACTCTTTCTTTTCCTCCGAGTTGTTTTGTCCCCCCTCTGCGTTGATGATGGCTGTGTCTGCGTCGGCCGCATCATCTGCTCCTTTGGCTTCGTGAGTGAAATATGTACCTGGAAAGGAACGGGAGCTGCGTGATTCCTCAGGGTCTGGTGTGGAGGGAGCATCAACAAAGGAAACAAAAACACCACTGGGAGAGAAATGGCTCTGTCACATCACACAAACACCACGGCTCAGGGGACACGTGTGCCCGGCCTTCCATCCTCCAGCTTTCACCTCTCTCTTACCTTTATGTCTGGCAAAATATCGCCCTAAAATGATGAGCAGGCAAAGCATCGCAAAGACGACGACGGCCACAACGCCGCCGACCACGGCGTGGTCCACGCTGCGGATGGCGCCTTCCTCACCTGCGCGGGAATCTGTTGAGATCAGAAGAGGAATGAGAATTGGGGCCTCACCGGGCTGCTCTCGGCAGGGTGTGGCTGCAGCTGCTCTCAGGACAGGAGGAGCTGCCCTGGGCTCTCCAGAGGAGCAGGGGTGAAGCACGGAGCTAACTAACAGATGAGTTCGGGCAGAGGAGCTGTGTCCGCAGCCCAACTGATCTGGCGGCTCCACTCGCGGGGCGTTTCCGCTAAAAGCAGCAGCACTACGACTACGCACGTGGGASACAGCCGGGAGAGGGCAGGGAGGGCACTGGAGTCGTCGCTGGGGACCTATTTCGGGAGATTTCCCTCTAGTGCTCCCCACATCTCAGCCTTCCCGGTGGATGGGGCACGGAGAAGAGCAGTACAGTATGGGAATATTGATCGTTAGCTCTGAGGAATGTCATTAATGAGTGCCCTGCTGAAAACATTTCAAATACAGCCCAAACCCAACCCACCCAGCACAGAAAATGTGTTTACAAGCATCCTGTGCCCTGACTGAACTGGGTTCCAGCATTAACCCCACCTTTGCTGCTCAGGACACGGCACTCGTGACCCAAACGCGAACACGCACTCCTGGCCGACAGTGAGCAGTAACTGACAGTGCCTCCGACTGCTTTCCTGCGTTTATTTAACTCCTCACCACACAATTAGTTTCCTTTCAGAAGCGCCTCTCCCTCGGGACGCCGTCACCTGGGAGAGGGATGACTGATGTGGCGGAGGAGCAGCTCCGGAATGAACCCCAGATGAGCTATGGCCATGTAAAATGAATGTATAGCAGTGTAAACAATTTTAATTTAAGRACGCAGCTACATCAACCCTCGCTGCAATCCTAATGGCAACTGAGATTTATAACGCAGTAAAAAACAATTATTCTCCCGCTGATTAATACATTAACATTTTGGAATAGAAGCTAAACCATTGTCTCTTTTTTTTCAGTGAGTCAAGCGCGACACCTCCATTAAAATGATTTACTGGCCATACCTTACAATTTAAGCACAGCAGCAACAGAAACGGTAAAAATCTTTTAACTTTACATGATTTGTGAAGTCATATGTGAAGGATTTACCATTTAAATCTTTCACTACAAGAAGCACATGGCCCATAAATCTGCCCTGCCTGCGCCTGCCCGGACACCTCGGAGAAATGCGTTTTGCCAGGACGACTGAGAGAGCAAATGCAAGTCAATTTTTAAGAAAGATTTATCTCCGTCTCCCTCCAAAGAACAGAGCAAATCTCTGAAGCCTCCACCTCTAATAATATTTGAAGTTTATCGATCAAGCGTACAGATCCGTGACAGCTAAAGGTAATGGGGCTCTTTTGAGCCGAGACCTGATACAAAGCTTTYGAGCAGCAGCTGGGATTTACGCTTTCTATCGATATTTCCAATTCTGCTCCGAGATTAAGGACTGAGGGACCCAGGTAAATAACTCGGGACCGAGAGCACCATAAAGCGTCTTTTAATTAAAACAATTTAAGAAAAAAATCCCTTYGAGTAACCTCTGAGAGAAGAGCCCCAGTGCGGGCAGGGAGATGCTGGGATGAGCTGGGGTGTGGCAATGGACACTGCAGAGCCCCTTCCAGAGCTTATGGTGAGAGAAAAACTGCAGCCAAAAAAGAGAATTCCCCTGCAAAGCAAACGCCTTCAGTGCCACATCCCTGAACCCCAACCCTGGCACTGTGCTGAGGAATCTGACAGACAGCAAAGGGGGACCCTGCACCTCATCCCCAGTGAACAGACCAGGCTGGGATGGATTCCCAGCATCTGCTGCTGTGGTGAGTGCCTGAACATCCCTGTGCTGATGGGGAAGGTGCACTCTGTGCAGTGCTGAGCTGATCCCTTCACCCAGGCACAGCATCTGCCACTGCCCAAGGTTTAAATGCACTAAAACCAGTTCTACCGAGCATCCTGGGCGCTCCCGCTCCSACACAGCCTTCCCACTGCTGCTCCAGCTCAGCTAATCTGGCCTCCGTGAACCTGCTCTCTGCAAAGCAACCAAACCAGCTCATCTGCTGCAGCATCTGCTTTAGGCACGCTTCACTCCCCTTTTTCCRTATTTTTTTTAGGAACTTTGCGCCCAGTTCCGCTCGGCTGCACTCGGAGCAGCAGCAGCGTCCCAGCCTGGGCAGATGAGTGCCTTGTTGACATCTGGAACAGCTGAGGGGAATAAACACGCTGAGTTACGGCTCTGGAATGTGCTTCCAGCAGGATTTTGCATCAAGAGGCATTTTTTCTTCATCRTCATAAATTAAGGTTCCGGAAAGACGAAGCCGTGTGCTCGTGCTGGCAGCTCCAGGCTGTGCCCGAGCCTCGTGCCCAACACGTCCCTCACTTCCCTGTGCCCAGCACCATGCCAAGAGCAGGGAGAGGTTCCCCTGAGRAGGGACTCGGAGTTAAAGCCATGCCAGGTTTGCTCAGCAGAGTTTGTTAAGCGTGAGTTCATCTGCTGAGATGTGCAGGGCCTTTTTTCTAAATTGCTCTCTGAAGGAAGACCCCTGCGAGGTGTCAGCCCCATAAACACATCTTCAACCTACACAGAGCCCAAAACATCCCTCCTTCAGCACCTCACAAACCCCACGTGCTCCGTGACCCAACACCACGAGATCTGTCTGCTGGCACAGCAGAGCCTGAATTCCCTGCCAGCAATTCCAACAGTGCTCCCAGCAAAGCTGTCTGTGTGTCACCAGCACASAACAGCCCCTCCACATCCTGCCCTCGCTATTTCTTTGGCAATTAACAGTGTCAGGTCTATGGGCCAAGGAATAATTCCCCAAAGACAACGAGAGACTTGACCTTAACAACCAGAATCTGCTTTAAATGCTGTCTCCAATTCAGCCGAGCTATTCCCGCCTCCTATCTCTGATTAAACCAGAAATCACAACTTTATTGCTGAAGAGGGAACAGTCGAGATGGCAGGATCTGACAAAATGCCACATTATTTGCTAATCCTAATATGTTATTCTTCCTCAAGATTTGCTTTTCTCAGCACCAATTCAATTACAGATGCTACAAATCCTTCTGACATTTAATTCCCTCTTGTCAGGGCGCAGTAAATGTATACATGCAGAGCTTTCCCATTAGGATGTTAATATATATTGGAGAAGCTGATCCCGGCCTCTCCAGTGAATCCTCAGGAATTTTCCTGTTGCGGTTTTGGTTTGGGTTTGCTCGTGAGTTTTGGTGGCTGGGACAGGAGGGAGGGAAGGGCAGGGAAGGAACAGACATCATGGCACGTTGTCACCATCATGTCCCCTCGGGGCACTCTGCAGCTACGGGCACCTCGGCTGAACCATTTTTGTTTTTGGATGCTTTGCTGGGCACCAAAGCACCTCAAAGGAAAACTGCAGTGGTAACGGTACAAAACACTCGCCAGAACTCAACTCATGCAGGAAAAWGATCCATTTTTCTTTATGAGTTCTGTGCTGTTCTCCATGGGACCAGCACGGCTGCACCCCACAACAGGGAACACCAGGATTTCATGGGATGCAGCCCTGGATCCATCTGCCCATGGATCAGATCACTGAACAGCTCCAGAGCCCCTTCCTGGTGGCCAGAAGAGACTTGGTAGCTTTATTTCTGCTGATTTTTTTAACCAACTGCTTGTGTAATCAACAAAATAATGATTACACTGCTGGAACGGGAACCCTGAAGTTTTCCTTTAAACAAAAAGTGCGATTCAGCAAACAGCACACACAGACAGGAGAGAAAGGGGTCTGGGGCTGGTTCCTACTCATCMCAGAACTCAGGAATTGATTCCAAAGGTGGGGAGCAGCACGGAGCAGATGCTGGGCTGGGACTGTCCCTCTGAGCACTGATAACCATGGTTGGGATTCACACCTGGGGGTTCTCAGCTATGCGGGTTTTGGGGGAGACTCTTTATTCAAAAAATAAATGTATTAATGATCTCCAGGTTTCTAACATTTCTGCCAATGGAAGTGCTAAAATCAGCTTTCTGTGTGCTCCCAAGGATGTTGGTGATGGTAAGAGGAGCATCCTGATGGTCTGGCTCAGTGCTTACACTGAGCTTTAGCAGAGCGAAGACTTTCTGCTCCCAACTTCTCCATGAAAAGGTTCCACTCAATCCCATTTTAATGAGGCCTTAAATATAGATGGATCTATGAATATTCCACTCTTTTCATCAGCAGCAGCATCCCAAGACTAAAAGCGAGACTGGCTTGGACCAGGCTGCATTTTAACCCTCCTTTGCACTCACACTCAGAGCTTCAGAGCTATTTGGGTCCAAATTTACCTTCGCTCTCCCCACGCTCTCGGGTCCTGTGAGGCTCCAGGCGTGGCTTTGGGCTCACCTTGGTGACAGGAGGGTGACAGAGCCCCTGCTGTGTGTGCTCTTAACTCCTGTCCTTCCTCCTCACCTCCCTCCACCTTCACACTCTGCAGCCCTGGGGATCTCTGGACAGCCCTGACCGTCCTCTACATGCATTTCTGCCATAAAAGCAGGGAGATTGCAGGGAAATTTTAATTAAAACCTAATTTCGGGGTTAATTTTGGCGTATTTGGACTTATTGCTGCTTGCATAAAAATTTACCTTCTGTTTCTGGGTGCAAATTAAAGTCAAGCTCCTGACACCAGAGACGTGGGCTGAACTTTAGTGTGAGCATGGGTGAGCTACAGCAACCCCACTGAGAGCTCCTGAGCTTCCCAGATGTGCAGGGAACATCTGCATCGTGGCAGGGCAAAGGAAACCTATGCCAAGGGCTTTGAAGAACTTCTAAAAAAGTGATTTTTTTTTCTAAATCTGGCTGTAGTTTAGTTTTTTAAATGATTATCACAGCAGCACGCCTGAAGATCCCACCGGCCACGCTTTGGGTGCTGATGGCCTTCAGTCACTGGAGCACTCCTGAAAACCTGTGAGCCAATTATTCCTTTTTCCTGGAGGCAGCAAACATCAGGATTGTACTGACACCTCCCCACTTAATCTGGGGTCAATTCTTTTGTGGAATTAGGTTTTTGAAATGATGGAGCAGCACTAGAAGTTGGACTTGGCAGGGGATGCTGGTGGAAGAACAGGCTGCTGTTACTCCATGAGCACCATAAACCACTTCGCCACGATGTGGGAGGACAGAAATCACTGCCTGTCTATGACAGGATGAGCAATAATGTTATTCATTCCCCCAGCGTGGCGTGGAGCAGGCTACCCCTCCTCGAATTTATTGAGGGGCCATTAAGGAGCAGTGTTAACCCGCCTGTCGTATCGTAATTGAATTTGGTCTCATTTAAACCAGAGAAATTTGAGAAGTTCATCCTTCTTCAATCAATAAGCTCCCCTTCAGCGACCCATTTCCAGATTCCTCATAAAAAACAAGGCGCTTTGTTTGAATGGATGTGCTGACCCTGGCAGAGCTCAGAGCTGGGGCTGCTCCCCCTCAAGAGGAGCCCAACCACAGTGGATGGTGATGGATCCACAGCACCCTCTGCAAAGGCTCTGATGGGATCTGCAGGGGAATTCAGCCCCTGTGGAGCTGGGCAGGGCTGCTGTGACCATTCCCTGTTTTACAGGGCTGCTGTGACCATTCCCTGTTTTACAGGGCTGCCCTGACCGTTCCCTGTTTTACAGGAGGTGCTGCATGCCGGAGAGCTTGGGCAGTGCTGGGGCACATCCCCAAAGCGCCGTGCTCTGAGCATCCCTGTCCGTGTGCACCTGCACAGGTGTGCCCAACACACACTCACAGAGCACACACACACTCACACACACACACACATTTACACACACACACACTCAGGGTGTGCCCAACACACACAGACACACACACACACGTATCACACACACACACTCACTCACACACAGAGGGTCAGTCACACACACACTCACACACACTCAGGGTGTTCCCTGGCCATCCCTGGCTCTGCAGGAACCCCAGGACACACCGTGCCAGGCTGGAACAGGACCCCAGAGCAGCAGGACCAGCCCTGTGCACACCCCAAGGGCTCAGGGTGAGGAACAAGGGGAGGATTGCAGAGCACGGACACACAGAGCTCGGCCGGCAGAGCTCAGCTCTGGGCTCAGGCTACCTGGGCGGGAGCCAAGGGATGCATTATTTAATTGCACGGTCGGCAGAGCCTCGCTGGAAGCTGTGGGCAGGATGGGAGTACCTGGAATGAACAGCACACTGAGCAAACACGGCACAGCCCCCAGACCCCAAACCAACAGCCCCGAGGGGGTGGGCAGTGCCTGAATCCCTCATGGGCTCCCCAGTGCCCTGCATCCCTCATGGGCTCCCCAGTGCCCTGAATCCCTCAGGAGCTCCCCAGTGCCCTGCATCCCTCATGGGCTCCCCTGTGCCCTGCATCCCTCACGGGCTCCCCAGTGCCCTGCATCCCTCATGGGCTCCCCTGTGCCCTGCATCCCTCAGGAGCTCCCC